TTCTGAATGTCCTAAAAACACGTAATTCTCCGTATAACAACTCTAGAGATAGCCACAAACACTTTTCATTCAAATATAAACACCAGAGAAGGATAATCCACACAATACGAATCAATCTCCAGTTCAAATAAAATTAATTAATTCTATCGTATAGTATAAGTTCCCCCAAAATCAGTTTTTCTAACTACACCTCCACTAAAATTTTAATGCCCAGGTTCACATGGGTGACAGAAAATAGATCACTACATAGAATTGCTCAATTAAAAATACAAAAAAGTATTAAATCATTAAACACCTTTATTAGATTTTCTAGAACAGCATAAATTCAGATAACTGGAATAATTGGATCCAGACTCTACATGAACATTATTTTAAAAACAGTCAGAAATTAAAATCTGACATCTAAAACTGAATCTGAGGAACATACAAATTTCCATATCTAGTAATACGACAATAATTTCTTCTTCTGACATTTTGTAACTAATTAAATTACTTAATATAATGTTTCATACACATTAAATCATGGATATTTTCTTTTAAGAAACATAAAGATTTTCTCTCATCTAAATATGTCAATTAAACATTTTAAAAATTCACTTTCTCAATATGAATTAAAGAAAAAGTAACATACCAGATTTTGAATTCACATTAAAAACGATTACTATGCCTCAGAAATTAACGTTCGAAAATCCTAATAATTAAATATTAAAGAAAAGCAAAGAAAATAAATCACTCACAGATTCATAACACAAGGGTCCATAAATGAGACTGAAGGTCCTCGCCCAATAAGCACGATGGTTTCCAGATCTTCTTAACTATTGACCTTGACAACTAATACGCTTGGACTGATCATTCAGTCATCAAGATTAACAAGATAATACGAAAAATGAAAATGATCGTTGTTTCCTTTCTTTAGCAGCATCTTGGCTGGTGATGTCCAGAACTAATTTTCTCATCGGAAATTTCACGTACCGCCGCCCGACTACGCCGCCTTCAAAAGATTAGAAGAATACGTGGACTGAAACAATCGTCCTTAAGAAGTTAGCAAAACTCGTCAGACAAAACGTTTCTTTCTTTCGTTTGTGTCCCTACAATTAGAAATTCCATTTATTGTAGTTCCATGCACCCTTTTAAGTAAGGCGGCAATTTCCTCACTTCCTTAAGCCACGAAAAGCCAGAAATTTCAATTAAAATTATCAACGGCTAGTAATCACCTTTTCCGGCTATGGGAACAATGACAGTCTTTAATAATTCACATGCGACTTTTCATCGCTGACACTCTTTTTTAATTGTTTAACACTCTTTTTTAACTCTTTTTTAAATGTTCATACGTTTCCGGGGTGGCTGTGAAGAAACGCGCCCGTCAGATTTATTAATGCCGGGAAAACTAGACTCGCAGACCGCGGTCAGCACCTAGGCCGCCGGGCTAAGATCGAAAACTTACTTCTCGGTCACTCTATATTTATAAGGTGAAAAATCTGGAAAAATCCGTCCTGGTCTCTCGTGCAAGAACTTTTAAAACCTCGGTAACGCTTAACTACGGATAGTCTCTAAGTTCACTATTTGCTCAAATTAACACTAAATTAATATTTTCTAATCAAACATATAACTTTAACACGCTCTAACCAACGATAAAAGGGGATGTGACACCAGTTAGTAATAAATATATCACAAAATTCGTCACTTCAGAAAAGACGAAGTATTTTTCGCCTCCAACGAGCAAAACACTTGTTCAGTTTGGAAATAAAGGGGCTGACGGGTGCGCAACAGTCCTCCTACCTTCAACCCTTAAGTAGTAGTAGCTTCGCGGAAGCGAAAATCACCCGCCTTTTAACTGCATAAAACATTTCGCTATCGTTTTAAGAAAGTAGCGCATTCAAATATGAAATGAGTTTACGTAATAATATATTATAAATTAATTCTCAAATATTAACATTATAAATTCACTTTTCACTGAAAATTAATATATTCACTATGCACTGTAAAATAATACGCAACAGTATTATAAATTGCGAACTTTGAAGCATTATGAGCTTAAATAATTTCTTGGAATCATGAATCTAGAAAGCAAAATAAACTGCATACTAAAAATAAATCTCTACTATAACTTTAGAAAAATCTGGGAATTAGAATAGAGATGTAAAAGTTTACAAATAATTTTATTTCAACATAAATACCATAAACTTATAGTTACACCCCTGAAGGAGATATCAGATGCAGCATCAGAAACTCTGATCATTGCTCCATCTTCAGATGGGAACTTATCGCCTTGAGCAAAGCACTTTATTACACTCTGTTCGACTAGTGACATTTTATGGATTCTGAGACACAGTACAAGCTCCATCAGTACCTTAAAAATTGGCCTAAGATTATGGATAAGACCGGTCAGAATATCATATCTAAACTTTTTGAGCCTGGACAAAGTAAATCAATATATCTCCAGTGGATACCGTCCCATGTTGGAGTGTATGGTAATGAAATAGCTGACCATCTTGCAAGGAAATGTTGTGATTTCCCTATCCCCACTTCCACAGATTTAAGCCCAACTGAAATACATTCTAAGTACAAAAATAAAACGAACATAGTGTGGAAATTTCTTCTGCACACCATTGGTATATCGCTGAGCAACCGGCCTGTCAGTTCAGAGTAAAAGAAATAGACTTCTCCAAACGGCCATCCCTAGATTCAGAAGCGGGCATTTTCGATGCATCAAAATCAGCGGGAGGGAAAGGACTTTTCCCTTGTGCCCTGTTCTTTTCCTGGCTCTCCCGCTCACCTACTGGATTGTATATAGGCGTCTTCCTGAGACAGCCGTCGGCTGAGCAGAAAAAATGATAGCAGTGATTTTACTTGTGCGGCAAGGTCCATTGGACTTGGTGTAGGCTTTCCTGCAGCAAGGGGATTAGTTCAACAGCATAGCAAACATACCATAAACACAATACAGCATACAGCTTGGAACGTAATGATACTCAAGACTTCCTAAGACTCTAGATTTCTTAGGAAGAAATTTTTATTTACCTATGGTTTGGAATTATTGCTCTAAGGCGGTGGCGTTACAATTTTACATTTAATCTGCCTCGGATGCCAAGTTGCTGGTCATTACGCATCAGCATCTATAAAACGCAAATTTAGATATCTACTCAAACAAAATCTCTACATTATTACCTCTAAGTCAGCTTCATACGTATATTTATACATATGTAAATAAAAATTTTAATTTAAATTAGGAATAGCTCCTTAATTCTTCATTTTAATCTGTTGTCTTCCCTTTCTGTTTCAAAAGTAGAAATTATTTATAATAATTTTTTATTGGACTGCACCTTTTCGAAATTAATCCGTGTCATGCTTTCTTGTGTACTCCGGCAACGTGGACAGCTCTTATTCAATCAGATCAAAGAAACTTTTGACTATATACCTCGCGCTTTGCTGAATGCTTTCTTCCCTTTTCCGCTTTTCCTTCACTCTTGCCAGCACGTGTCGCTAGCTTCTCTGCCTCATCCATTGCCTAAAGATTGATAACCTGTACAACATTGTGCGATCCATACCCATTAGGGGTGTGATACCCATAATCATGTATGATTGAAAATAAGTATATCAAGAACGTCCAGCAATAAATTATGTCTTTTCTTCGGCCATGTCCGTTAAATTTTCTAGTCCCTTATACATTTACGAAGCCGCCAGTTCTTACCAAATTAAAACGACGAGTCATCATTCTAAACGCGTAGTAAAAACAATTGCCTAAATCTATTACAAATATCGTCAAATCATCAAGATATTTATAGATTACATAAATTAATATATGAATTTATTATATATATATATCTATATTATATAATATAAATCATATATTAATTTATTATAATATATTATATTAAATCATATATATTTATGTTTATATATATATGAATTTATATTACAAGGTATTTCTTCCGCCTTCTTAGCATCCCTTTGTGATGTATTAATCAGCACACTCGGCGCGTATTCGAAAGGTCCGAGGATCGGGTCCAGGCGAGGGCACTGCTAATTTTTCATCTCTCCTGCTTCAAAAAAAATCCTAATGACTCTACAATATAAGAAATTGTTAACTTATTAATACTAACTTAATTTAGCAATATCCCTTTTAATTCCTGATTTGACTTGGTTAAGTCTCCTTCAAAATATCTGTACTGTGTCACTTACGACATTATTTTATCTGCAATGATCAACCCTGGTTTAGAGCTCTTGTCCAATCACCATTTAAAACTGAAACAACGGAGCAGAATTTATTAATATCCCGGTTGTTAAATCTCCCGCTCTCTCTTTGCAAGCATGTATTTCATCGCTTTGCTACTTTCATTAATTGTTTAACGATGAGATATGCTTACATAAAATTGCCGGGCTCTTGCAGCACCCATAATGTTATATCAATCCAGAAGACAAGTGTTGAGAAATTATTCGTAAAAAACCATAAAGTGATGTTATAAATATTAAGCTAGTTTTGCTTTCCAAAGTTCCAATCTTCTAATATGCAACCTGCATGTCGGCCACATTTATCATTATTACGGTGAACTTTAATGAGTGCTGTAACATCACCAAGCTTCCGAGATGGACATCCTTTCTCTTAAGCAAATGGCCCTCGCGTGCTTAGTGTAATCAATTAAACCGTTACACATGAAAAGAAACTACGAAAGCGTCCAAGAACTAACCTGTTTTCTATGGATTCAATTCCTGGTAGAGTTATCAGCATTCACTGATGTTATTCACTAGACCTCTACTGGCCCAAAATTTAATCAAGTCCAATGTCTGCCTCAAAGCTAAATGGATTATAACATTATACTACTACCGTAAATATGTTGTTGTCTAGATGTGTTGAGAATACTCTTACGATTTGCATGTATTATTACTTTTCGGGATTCTTTATTTAATGATAAATAGTTTTATTGATTCGCAATTAACATATTTTGGATTGTTTGGCAATACACCGTAATACTAAAAATAGTTGGCGGATTCCATTTCATTGCTTGGTATACCTGTGAACGCATAATAGCTTCTAATGACTTATGAAAAAAGAGGCTACTAAACGAACAAAATGAATAATAACAATGCCCCAGAAAAAAATTTAGTTCATGTTTAAAGAGAAGTCAGCTATGAATATGTATGATTTTAATAGCAAGACAGACATTTTTCGGCAAATTATCATCACCAGAAATTGCAGTCCAGTTACTGAGATAAGTACCCTTTCTACAATATTAATTTAGATTACTTCGGATATATCAGAATTTCCTTTAGTTATTTAGCAGAAGGTACTTTTATTAACACTCAAGCTCAAAGTGCAAATACATGAGCAAGTTTACATATTCTCACTTCCCCTCCAAAATTTCATCTGGATTTTAAAGGCACAGATTCCGCATTTATTATTTTTTTATAATCATTTACATAATAAGCAAAAATCTTCAGAATCATCTGACCATAGATAAATACGACGTAAAATCGAGAAAAATGGACTTACTCAAAAGCCCATCCTACAAGAAGAAACTTGTTTCCTGCGAAAACTTCCGCCATGGCGTGAGTACCCTGGCGTATAGCCAACCACTTCGGATCATTCTTCTCGAACTTTTTGCTGAATAACACTTCAGATATAACACTGTGCGCGAGATAAGCCAAATGTGGCAGAAGTTCTATAGGTTTTCCTTCAGTCTTTCTGAGATCTTGCAGCATGCTTTGGATTTCATCTATGACTAGAGTTTCAATTTGTGCTTTCTCAACTCCAAAATTCTTCAGATTGTGTAAGAAGAAACGCCGCTGCTCCTTCCAAGGTGCTCCTTCTTCTTGTGCAATTCCTTAAAGTATTAAAAAATAGTCATAAGGAACAAAATTCTTTCCAAAGGCGTAAGTTAAGAGACACTAAAGAGCTCTTATGTTCAAAATTAAGAGAATTTGCAAATTATATGTATTTTACCTAAATTATTGAACCAAACTTTTACCGCTGAATTAGGAAGGGTAACTTAAATATTCACAATCGAATACGTAAGCGTACACGCGCGTGTCTGCGGAGCTGTGATTGTGGAGGGTATATAAGAGCACGAGGGGTTTCCGATGATTTGTCACTTGCTCACGTAACCATGGTCATTTTCCTTTCCATATACACAACTGTTCATCTTGCACTCAGCTCACGTATTAGTTTACCTCACCCTCTCAAGACAGCCGGAACACGTCGTGCAATACTTGCACGACAAATCGCGACATATCAACAGAAGCTGAAGTTGGAGCCGGCGATTTGTGTGCCCATACTCTTCCACGACATTCGCCGTGTTTCTCGCAAGAGTTGCGTACGTTTTCTCAGAGATCAGGCAAAATGAATAGCCACGAAACACACGGAGACGAAATAAGATGAAGAAATATCGGTAGATTTGAGGCAAGCCGATCAAAAACGTAGGTGGATACAGAGCTCAGTATAACACCCAGTGACGTCGGCAGTTTGTGGAAACAGTTTCAAGACACTGGATCCATACTGAGAATACATGGGCAAGTCCACACAAAGTCGAACAAGATCCACAACGACGAATGAGAATCGTTGTTTAGAATTTTCACAGTGGTGATGCAGGACTGCTACAGTTCCACAGCTGTCACGTTAGTGGCAGTATGCTGCCATTGGAACCCGAGTTTCACGAGTTTTTGCCCAAAGGCTTCAAAAAACAGAGCTGTATGCCAGAAGACCCTCTGTTTATGTCCCGCTTACTGCAAAACACAAGACAGCGCATTTAGCATGCTGCAGGCAATATACGCCTTGAACCAGACTTCAGTAGAGCACCATGCTTTTGACATGGGAGTTGAGATTCAGCTTGGACACTGATTTTCGAAGTACATGTATCTGAAGAGAGCGTGGAACACCATACCAAACAATCCTCATCAGGGAACACCATACCACACAATTCTCATCATGCGCCTCATCAGGGAAAATTATTCAGAATCATCTGACCTTAGATAAAAACTACGTAAAATCGAGAAAAATGCACTTATTCAAAAGCTCATCCTACACAAAAAAACTTGTTTTCTGTGAAAACTTCAACCATGCAGTGAGTACCCTGACGTATAGCCAACCACTTCGGATCATTCTTCTCGAACTTTTTGCTGAACAACACTTCAGATATAATACTGTGCGCGACATAAGCCAAATGTGTCAGAAGTTCTGCAGGTTTTTCCCATCAGTCTTTCTGAGATCTTGCAACATAGTTTGGATTTCATATATGACTACAGTTCCAAATTGTGCTTTCTCAGCTCATTACGGTGCTTTCTAAACTCAACTGTTTCATTACGGTGATGGAGATGTAACAGTTTGGGTAAGCATTATGTTGGACGGCCGCGCACCCTGCATATGTTTAATAAGGACTCCCTCAGTTCTATGACATATAGAGAGATAATCAATGCCCTATGTTCGACTTCTAAGGCGCGCAATTGGTTTTGAGTTCCTGTCAATTTATACAGGAAGGCTCGTCCACATAGGGCTCAGCTGGTCAACAATTGCTTGGAAAGCGTTGATATTCGTCGCATATGGATTGGTCATCCAGATCTCCTGATCCTAACCCCAAACAACATTTCTGGAACGCTCTTGGAAAGGCAATTTCATCTCCCTCCAAGAGCGTGACTTTTCTCTATTTAAGAGGGGACCATACCATTATTAGACTCATTTTCAGTCCGATATCTCAACATAGGTTTCTCTACACTCTGAGCTTTACTGATAATTATGCGTACATAAAATGGCTTTTGAATGGTGTATCTCTTTCTGTGTTATAAATGTACATACTCATAATAAATTTCATTAAAATTTGTCCATTAATTTTTTAGAAACTTGATATAATGTCCCTCAATTTGTATCACACGAATGTATATCAGGTGAGTTCGTAAGTATCATACAGGACTTTTTAAAGCACATTCTAAGGCATTTAGAACGATTTTTACTGGTACCATTACTCAAAAACAGCTCCATTGATATAAATTCTAGCTTGTAAACAAGCAGACTAGCTTTTTCTGTAAAGGCGATCACAGAACAGCACATAAAGTTTTACGAGAATGAAAAAGATAATAATGTAATAAATGCTGCAAAAAAAAAAAAAAAAAAAAAAAAAAAAAAAATTGAAATGTTTTAGATTTTAAATTACGTCCAAAGGGGCGTTTTTAAACATTTTGTGTGTTACCTTTCTTTATTAAATATCATGTTCCTCGCACTTAAACCATAAGATCCAGTGCAACAGCAATGTCGCAAAATAGTTTTAAAACGAGCATATCTTTAGAATTTCCGATACAGAGACTCACGCGCTGGAGATAAAAATGTTTTTTCTGCACAACGTTGCCATTGCTCGCTTTGAAATCCTTGACTTTGTTAATCAAAAATTCGTCAATCAAAGTTTTAAAAATAGGAAATCGATCATAAAACAAATTTCAAATTTCAAATTTGGTCTTCCACATGCTCATATTCGTTGGAGGATTACGTTATTCAAAATTCGATGACTCTATGTACCGTTGTTTTATCACAATACGAGAAATATACATACATTTATGCAGATTTTTCATTATTTAATTTCTTCAAATATAATGCAGGACTCTAACATTTTGTGGCAACAGTTTGAAAAGTGAACCGACATTTATGAGTCCGACGCAAAATGCCAAAACGAAACTAATAGTCCTTCGGGATTCAAATCCCTTTGGACTAAAAAAAAAAAAAAAAAAAAAAAAAAAAAAAAATGTATAGAAATTTTATAAGGATGATTTGAATATTCGGAAGTGGCAACGATGGTTTTGTAAATTACTAGTAAGAACTAATTTCAGTTCCATCGCCCCATATCACATCTAGTTCTTCCAGGGCAATCTAATGTATAGTCAAATGGGAAATTATGGTAGAAGCTATTTGTTTAACAAGTCCTGCAGAGGGAAAAACATTGCCGATTTATTCTGATCCTGGTTCTTATATGAAAGAATAATAACCCTCTTCTTCACTTCTTCAAAGAAGCTTTGAATTATTTTTTTAATTACCATCATGTGGCCTTCCATCAAAGTACAGACCACGTAGTGATTCTCTGATTGATTATGCAAATTATTTTTGTTATTACTTGTTTTTCTTCTTATTAATCGATATTTCTTTTTTTTTCCCTTTGTCAACGATGTGAGAATTATCTGAATCAGTTATCATAGGCAGAGTTACACAATATTTACCATTGCATAATATATATATATAATATTTGATAGCTATAGTCATCGTTTAAAATGGTTGGTAGCAAAAATTACAAAGTACTGCTATTTTACAAAAAATTCTATTTTTCGAGCTTCTTTCACAAACAATAAATAATTTGAAATCACAGGGTTTTAAAATTTTTTCATGTTCCTCATATACCAAAATTCACATTAGGATCTACAGCGTTTCGACAGTAATGAGTTTAGTAACTATAAAAGACTGACAAAAAACATCAAAATTTTTCAAACTTTCAAAATCATTTTTCAAAATTTTGAGTACGATCCGCGGACGGAAGACATAATTTTATATAAAAACTATTTTTCTATTTTACTTAGCTAGCTGATAGGCAACTTTATCGGGGTATAGCGATATATATGTATATTTTTTTAAGTGTTTTTTCTGTAAATCCCGACCAGCCGCTGCGTTCTTGATAATGATGCGTTGTAACTAGGTGATGTATATAATGTATGTAAACTAATTAGTAACCAAGTTAACTACTTATTTAACTAGTAGTTTACTAAGTATTAAGTTCTTAATAACTTAACTAGCTAGTTGTTAATAACTGTATAGAGACATTAGCTATTATTTTTAAATAGGAGAGATGAAAAATGAGCAATGGCTTCCCCGGAACTCGAAACACGGACCTCTCGAATACGCGTCGGGCATGCTTACCACTACACCACGAAGGCATGCTAAGAAGGCGGCAGAAATACCTTATATACTTCCCCTTTTAAAGGGCCATTAGGGATTAGGGGTCCCAGTCGCCAATCCCAGTCTTGGTGGTGGGGAATCATCATTCACCACCTTTTTCAATTCGGGCGCCACTATAGAGACATTATGTATTTTTTGAAAGCAGGAGAGATGAAAAATGAGCAATGCCCTCGCCGGGACTCGAACCACGGACTTCTCGAATATGCGTCGAGGGTGCTGACTATTAAATTACGAAGATATGCTAAGAAGATGAGAGAAATACATTATAACTGAACTAAAATTAACTAACTTATCGAAGAGATAGTACAACAGAGAGGTAAGCGAGAGGTTAGTTTGAATCCCTCTTATATCCTTCGTAAAAATAAATTAACTAACTAAACTGCTAACTAATCATAAGTTAGTGAATACTAAGTTAGTTACATTTTATCAGTGTTATAGATTATTAGATCAAATATATAATTATTAATATATTTTTCAAGCGTATTTATGCCAAATGAAAACGTGTAAATGTACGGACTGGTATCATTTTAAATATTTAAATTTAATTTTAGCCTAATATGTGGTATTCATCTCCGGGTGGGATTTTGCGTAGGTTTACTATAAGCGGCGTCGAATTCCTATTGTTATTATTTATCATTGTAGAACTTTAATGAATTTTTGATCGACTAATTCAACGATTTGAAAGAGAACAGTGGCAACACTGTTCGAAATAAAGCATTTTTATTTCCAGTGCGCAAGACTGTTGCGATTCGGAGAAATGTATGATATTTATCTGTTAATTTAATTGAAAAACTCGGCTTTATGAAATCAATGTGTTGCCGCGGCAGGAAAAAGAATACTTTTATCTTCCAAGTGCCAACGTGTTGCCATTCAAGTAAAGGACTAAGACACTTTCGAATT